CATGGCTCGAAAAGGGGCACAACTTCTTACGTTGCCCTGAGGCCCGGTTGGAACCTCTAGGAAAGAAGGTTGCGCCCAAAGCCCGTTGTTGCCTCGAACTGCGCGGCGGCCTGGTCCGTGGCGGCTGCAGCACCAACAACAACAACAACAACAACAACAACAACAGCCACTACGTCACTGCTACCACCCGTACTACCACCATCACCACCACCACCACCACCAAGAACACCAGTAAAACCATTACCTTCGCTTCAGGACGTCTGGCTTGAGGCCGCCCGATTGGAGAAGCCGACGCACGCCAAGGCGGTGCTCGCCAAGGCCGGGAGGGAAGCAGCATCTCACGTTTGATTTTGCGCGTAGAAGCTAGACTTCTGCGTGCCAGGCAGTGAAGTCCCTGCCGCACTCGGTGCGTCTATGGATCGATGCAGCCAATCGCGAGACGGAGCCGCAAGGGAAATTGACTCGTCTTCAGAGGGGGCTGTCGTGCAGATCTTCTAAGTCTGATATATCTGTACTGATTCGCCTAGCTCAGAACAAGAGACCGCAACAAAGATCCGAAGCAGTAGCATCCTTTTTCAAGCCAATCAAAATGAGCCGATATGCTCCCATAAAACCGTCACCACGGTACATAGAGGTTGTATATGCTTGCCGCAGCTAGGCAGCTAGACCGATAGAAGAATTTCCTTCTTTAATACTGTAACTAGAAATGATAAATGTTGGTGTGCCTGTACCAGTTGACACGGGCCTCAGGTTGTCTCGTAGCTCAACGTTTTCGTACAAGTACCTAAGCCGCTAGAACCGAAATCCTCAACGGTAGCTGCGGGTACAAATACCCTTAGCGTTCTCCGAGTGCTTGGGATCGCGGGCCCGATCCTGCGATTGCATGTCTGCATTGCAAGCATGGGTGAGCGCTTGAGCCCACTCCGCTGTGAGAGCTGTTCCCGTTCCTGTGCCTGCATGTCGTGATACGACAGACTCACTATGAACGTCCTCACTTCCTCGTTTGCTGTTTGGGGGCCCATTCTTTCGAACTCAGACTGTAGACCGCGAAATGCGCCAAGCCTCTAAGTACCCGGCCACAGATATCCCAAAGCGCTCTGCAACCTCCCCGACGAGGACCTGCAAGCCAAGAGCCGGGTGTTGCGAAAGGTGTGGGCCGGATCTGGGGTTGCCGGGCGTTGCTTTACGGGTTTGGCAGGAATGTTAGGCTTCGGCTGACAGGAGTCAGGAGCGGAGGGGATACCTGTAGGGCTCCTCGCCTAGACAGAAAATCAAACCACAAAGCTTGCTCAGTGGCTTCATATGCTCGTCCTTACTGGTTCCGCAGATAGCAGTGTCGTCACTAGCCCGACGGTCATGATGTTGTTCGTGCTGTTGGTGATGACGATAACAATGATGATGCGGACCACCATAATCATCATTATCGTCCTCATGATCATCATGGTCACGACCATGCGGTGACGGCGACAGCGATGACAATGACGATGATTATGATGATGATGATGGTGATGATGATGATGATCATGATGATGATCATGATGATGATGCTGACATTAGCATTAAGCGCAAGAAGAAGCAGAATAATCCAATTGGGATAGCGAGGGGACCCGGGCCGAGACACCATTACAGTCTGACATCGGATCGGCAGTTCCGACTTCTGAACTTTGTGTTGCACGAAGCTTCCCCATCATCGCACGGGGCTGCTGGATTTTTTGCAAGAGGGAACTTCGTTTGAAACAACCCCTGTCTGGGGGCATGCCCTAGATGGCACTACGAATACCAATGGGACGATCAACAAAAATCAAAACTAGGTTGCAGTCAGGATACTCGTCATCGTACGAAGGTGAACCTGAGGTCTCAGAGCCCTCAAGCTTTAGTCCTGGAGAGAGCCCAAGCCCCATCACTTGGAAGTTGGGCACGTCAGAGATAAGGCTAAGGAGGACATCCTCCTCTTAGAAATGACAGCAGAATCGGGCGCAGGGATCTAAAGGCAACCGAGACTCCTACTGCACGCGCTCTAGAGAACCTTGACTCAAAAAACGACCGAAAAGCATCTGATCATTCATTCCCCTTCAGAGGTTTTGTACACCGCAACCGCTCACGCGTGTTTTCTCGCTTTGGCTGGAGGCCCTCGAGTTCATCCCGAACTCCGTCCGTTTGTGGAAGGAGGCCGTTAGCTTGGAGGCCTGCGGGGGCTCATTGCAACTTAAGGGTTTCAGGGAGCATCGAGGTGACGGTGATTCTACCCACAGCTTTCACCCACATCTGGTGTGCACTGATCCTGGAAGTAGTGTGCTTTGCAGTTCGAGGCTTGGGGGTGATTACGGTCTAGCTGTTTGGATTTGAGGTTAAATTCTTAGAGATTCTAAGTAGTGTTCCAACCCTATATAAACACCAAGAAGCTGTAAACAAAAAAACTGTAGAGCCCCGCAAAACGTACGGTCACCGTGTTTGGGCTGCACCCGTGACACTGTGGGCGACTCGGACAGATGCCTCAGCAGACAAAGCGGCACTCGGTCTTGTAAGCGAGGTTGATAAAACGAGGGGGTGTAGCGTTGTCCAGAAGCGTCTTATGCGGCGTGTACAAAGGTGTGTGGACTTGCGGGCAGTTATGGGTGGACTTACCGGCTGTTCTTAGGGCTCCTGTTGAGGAGCTTAGCTAATGCTGCCATCAACGAAGCCACATTAAATGGGATGATTCCTTATTGTTGTAACTTCGGTTGAGCAAGACCCCAGGATGTCTACTTGGGTTGGTGGGATATGTTGTGGTCAACCCAATCGGAATTCACAAGCTCTACCAGATGTATACAGATTGGACAACACTTTACAAAGAATTTGAGATTTCTGTCGCACAGTGCAGGAGACTGTCAAGATCACAGAAGGAGCTTACCCCAATCCGTCAAAGTAGAAACGCACTTGGATTCTTGCCGCCTCTTTGAAATGCGCAGGATGAGACGGAAGCCCGTGTCATGCTAAGCCGCGCCGTGGAGTGCGTACCTCACAGCGTCCGGGCCTAAGGGCAGGGCGCTACTTTGTCTCGCCAGGACGCCGAACGGAGCCGAAGTAGAGCTGTTCAAAGGCAATCTGTCTTTCAGGGACGGAGGCATGGCTTTGCAGATTCAGGTTCAGAGCCACGCAGTTGAAGGTTTATTTGCATTTTTATGCCTTGATGAAACAGGCTCAAGATGTAGGTCGCTCTGCATTGGGACTCGCTAAACCGAAGCCGTAGAAAGTACAGGCTTTTCGGCTTTTTGTGTGCACATGATCTACTGTCTACAAGCCCCATTAAGGGCAGAGCTGTTCGGTCCAAAGGATTGCCTCTCGAGTTCTTTGTGAGGCATTTGCACCATACTGGGGACCTACGAAGCGTGCCCCGCTCAGGTGGAGATGTGGCTGGCCTTGGCAAAGCTGTCCGCGTACAAGGCATCAACTGAAGAGTTTTGCAAAGGGCTTTCAAGCTCTGATGTCTTCGGAAGTAGCCTGCAGACGTACTGAGAGGATCATCGAAGCTATAATGAGTACAGTTAAAATCCCTCGGAGCCTTCATATAGCAGCTGCCAGGGCCATCATGATCATGTTCAGCATATCTCATCCTCGCGCTCTGGTTGCATCCGCATCACCACTAGCATCATCCCCCGTAGCAGTGCGACAATCAGAACTGAGTAGCACAATGCTAAGATGCCATGTTTGGATACCACGAGGACAACGCCACAAGGACACTAGCAAAAAAACCGCAGTAGGACGACTCGCAAGCTGCCGACTCTAAAGGCTCCGACAATTTCCTGAGAATCTCGCCAGCCGAAACAGGGAGCCTTAAAGCCGAACCCTAAACTTCAACAAAACAACGGGGGAACCTCAAAGAGCCCTCAAGGAACCCTTAATGGGTTATGAAGCTTGCAAAAGAAAGCCTAACAACGTATTGGCAGAGCCGCCAGGATGCCCAGAAGGTGTTGAATGAGGCACGAAAGCACATCCCGCTGCGAGCTGAGTTAGCTTTGAGTGAGGTGACAGAGTGCCTTCACATCGAGGGCATCATCGAATTTTTTAGAGCTTGGAGCTTCTCGTGCATTTACCTTCGAGTAAGCAGGCCTCGAACGAACTCACGAGGGACCCTGTCTCGCCGTTGCT